AGATAACTACTCCAAAAATTTAGTATGTACAATATTTTCCAGACTCTTCTCTAACCCCCCCACACAATAAGTGTATATAAAAGTTAAAATTTATATTAGTAAAAGTTTAGATTTTAAAATAATCATAATGATATGCTTGCCTTTGTTTTCTGATCCTATACCTGGGGTTTTTTCTTATGAGTAGTTTCCCTTTAAGAAAGACCTCTCATTTCTGCAATTGCTGAGTCCCAAAGGACCTTTCCTGTTGGTGTTGAACTAGGGCATGTGGTGCAGTGAATGATGCCTGGACTTTCATGATAAGGATTCTGTGCTAATTGCATTTCTTGGCAGTGAGAGTGGAGTAAGGAGAATTTAAATAATAAGAAACCTAAAGCTTCCTTTGCCAATTGAAGACTATAGAATATTCTAAGATTTTATCTGAGTAGGATTGTGATTTTTGAACTTGCTGGCTATTCCAGGAGATATTCACTGTTGGTGTGTTAGTGGGAAACTTTGTGAAATCACTGATTTTTTTTTTAAAGGTAGATTCCGTGTCCCACCCCGCCCCCCCAACCATAGTTTATAATCTTAAGGGCAGCTAATTTCCCCCAGAATGAGCAATCCAAGAGACCAAGTCAGACAAAATTGCTTTTGTGACCTAACCTTAAGAGTTATACACTGTCACTTCTTCAGTAGGTCTGCTGTAATCATTGTGGGAGGGGACAATGCTCAGGGGCCTGTGTACTAGGAGGTGAGGCTCCCTGGGGCCATCTTGGAGGAACCACTAGGAACAACATAGGTGGTTACCTTATCTGTTTACTTCACTGAGGTATAATTGATATCTAACATTATATTAACAGTTTTAGGTATACAATGTAATGATTTAATACTTGTATGTATATTTGGAAATAGCGACTGTGATGAGTCTAGTTAACATCCATCCACAGATGGTTACTTTAAAGCCATGAGATTAGATGAGGTCACCTAGGGAGTAAGAGTAGAGAGAGAAGATAGCAGGATTAAGTCAACATTCAGAGGTCACAAAGAAGACAGAGAAAAAGCCTCCAGGGAGTCGATGCCTTTGGGAGCCCAGTGGAGAAAGTGTTTCCAAAAGAAGAGAAGGCCGAGAAACTAAGATAATAGCTAAGAAATGATCACCAGATTTACACCTGTGCAAAACCCGTTTCTCCTTGGAGTCTCACACAATTCAGATGTAGTTGTAAGGAAAACAGGTGTTGTTTAAAACGGTAACTACTTGCAGCCACTTTTGAGTACCAGAAAGTAGCCTCCTGTATTACTTGTGGGTGATAGAGCTTGTGCAGGAAAGACCTTGATAATCTCTTTGGGTCTGAATAGAACCTCCTAGAGTTAGTTCTGGAAGGTGAGGGCTGGAGAGTTGAGTTGCCATCCATAATAAAGGAAGAAGAATGGAGTATCCAAGACCACTAGCGAATTTGAAAGAAAGTGTGACTCCAGAAAGCTGCATACGAAGTGTGTCAGCTGAGAATGACAAAGTAACTCACCTTCCGTGGGCTTTTGCACCCATACTGGAATTCCTTCAGGCTCGTATGACCCTCTTCTCTCCATTCTGCTCCTCTGACACTCCTTGCTCATCAGTTACCCTGGTTTCTCCATAGGATTTTGGTTACACACAAAAAGCAATCATAGGCCAAAAATACCGAGTACTTGCTAGGTTCCAGGGACTGTTCCTACTGTTTTATGTACTCTACCTCATTTAATTTTCACAAAGCCACTCCACTATAGGAATAGGAAACTGAGGCATACAAGAGGTTAAATTACGTGCTATTAAGTATTAAGGTCAGAATTTGAACTCAGTCTGGCTTCAGAGATTTGGCTCTTAATCAGTAAATCTTGCTCTTGTTTTCCTTTTTAGGGTTTTGGATTTGGCAACTCAGACTAAACCAGTCTGAATCACCATCTACTCAGGCTTAGACTTTGGCCACCTTCTGCCCTAGCCAAGAACATGACATCTGTTATTGACTCGTGGGTCTGACCCACCCCAGTAGAAACCCCACCCTGGGCCTTGCTGGTGCCAGATAGGAGAAAGGCCATCAAAGCAATGTGTGTTCATGCCCCTGTGTCCTTTCATACATGCTTCCTCTGTTCCCATTCTCCCTTCTCTGCCTGGTTGGTTTCTGTATGAAGTATTTGCTTGAGTCGTCACAAATTTTTCTTTCTCCTTCAAGTTGTTCTTTGATCTTCTATCCACCCTGTCTTAGCATATCACCATTCCTGGTAGATGTCTGTCTCTGCCCTCAATCTCAATTGTGAGCTTCTCCAGGCAAGGACTATACCTCTGAGTCTCCAGTCTGGCACACTATGAGGGTTCAATAAGAATTTCTTGACTGAATGAAAGAAGGTGCTAGAAAATGAACAGGACAAATGTTATACCCTGCAGTGAAAAATACATTTTTTTTTTTTTGTAAACTTGATGGGCTGATGTAAAAAGGAAAGAACTATAAGAATCATTTTTGTTGTTGTTAATTATTCTAATTAAGTGCTCCTTTTATTTTTTTTATGTGGACCATTTTTAAAGTCTATTGAATTTGTTGTTTATGTTCTGCATTTTTGGCTATGAGACATGAGGGATCTTAGCTCCTGACCGGGGATCAAACCTGCACCCCCTGCCTTGGAAGGTAAAGTCCCAACCATTGGACTCCCAGGGAAGTCCCAAGAATCTTCTTAACTTAATCTCCAGCCTCACCGTCTTTATCTCAGTGTTATCGACTTCAATAGTATTTCACAAACCTCTCTCTACACCCTTGATTCTATTGTTGGCATCAAGAAGGTACACATTTCACATTATTACCATTCACCTTTTATTAAAACAATACTACTCGATTAAGGTCCTGTGATTAAGCATATGTTCTAGGTCACTAGAAGAAAGTTTATTAAAGGACTACCTCAGGTCCACAAAGATGTAAGGCAATTTTGATTTGTTATCAAGACCCACATTTCCACAATGATTTGTAATTAAATTTTGTTTTGAAGGCCAAAAAAACAACAACAAAAAAAACCAGACTCAAAGTGAATAGGGAATCCAAAGAAAATGAAACAAACAGAAGCAGAGATTGAACTAATATATCATCTTACTCTAAAAGGAATAATTTCTACTTATAAATTTCTTGTTCCTAAGGAACTAATCATGGGGCAGATCTTGTGAAATTTTACATCAGTTCTTCAATTTCCTGAACTTGGGATGAGACCACCTCACCATTCACCACTTCCTGCACAATTGTCTTGATTTTCCGGGCTTTGTTAGGGTCTAAAGATAAAAATGGAACAAAGGGAGCAAAAGTTAGTGCTTCAAATATTCATCTAACATTTGCTGTTTAACTTAGGCTTCTAAATTAGGTATTGACTGATACAGTCCATGAAATTTAAACTTTCAGGTGTGACCTTTGCATTTCTAAACAAAATGCATTTTATTTAATAAAATGTATTCAGTGTTGTCTTGTGCACAAATGAAAATGGTTTTCTTTTTAAACACTTAAAAAGTGTTTATGATTCTCATAATACCCCTTTGTAGAGTAGATTTTCTTATCCTTCCTGAACTTGCTGAAAGTTTTAACCCTGTGCAGACTACTCAATTTATCTGCAGGAATGCATAAATATTTTTTCTTGGCTCCAAATACAAATATACTTTAAATATACACTGCTATATTTAATGAGATCTTACAGTTTTGGTCATTAATAGATGTTATTCTGACTTGTTCTACATGATTCCTAGGGAATCTGCATACCTTTAGAGGAATCAGTTGATGGTGCTTGAGATGTGGAGGCTGTCACATATGAACTTTCCACCAAACAGTCACTGTAAAGAAAACAAGGGAGTTGATATCACATGATGCTTTCTGGAATGAGAAGGAATAAGGAGCTTGCTGTTTGAGCTTTTAAAATGGCCAATGAGAGAAGGGTATTCTAAATTTCTTGATTAAGAATGATGGAGTGATGCATCCTGAGAGTAATCAGTTGTGCAGCTACCTTTGTTTTCAAACACTGCCTAAAAAGGGCTCTTGAAGTGAAGCCAACTGACAATTAGTGGAAAATGTGGTTTTCCAATTTACCATCCTGAATTCTTCCCACCAGTCCAGGCTGCTGTTACTTTTGGAAAGTTCCCTAGGGTAGTTTCAAGGTGGTTGCATGGCTGATATTTGATGTGTCATTCTTAGCATTAAAATCAGAACTCTACTGGCTGATTGTTCTAATACACGCCTGCAGTATGCCTCTGTCTGTGTGGTGCCATTTTTCATCCCAGCATTTTATGAACTTTTATCAAGGAAGATAATGGTGACAACACTTTGCAAAGTGTAGAGCCTTTAATAAAGCTAAGGCATATTAGACATGTCCGACAGTTTCGCGCCGGATTCTTTGCGACCCCATGGACTGTAGCACACCAGGCTCCTCTGTCCATGGGATTTCCCAAGCAAGAATACTAGAGTAGATTGCCATTTCCTCCTCCAGGGGATCTTCCCCACTCAGGAATAGAACCTGCATTGAAGGCGATTCTTTACCGCGGAGCCACCTAGGAACTCCTATGTCTTTACCAGATGTGTTCTTTTCTGTCAACTAAAGAACCCTTCCCGATTCTGTTGCCCTTAAACTGCATCTGGTGTCCACTGTCGGTCAGCCATTGAGGTTATTTTCAGTCCCAGTTATCTATTTACCCTTGGGCCTCGCCGTCCAGCAGGCGGCGGTAGGTCTCGATTTCCAGCTCCAGGCGGGCCTTGACGTTCAGCAGCCGCTGGTAGTCGGCGCTCTGGCGCTCGGCGTCGGCGCGCACCTGCAGCAGCTGCTCCTCCAGGCTGCCGATGAGCTGCTGCACCTGGGACAGCTGGCCGCAGTAGTCGCCCTCGGTTTCAGCCAGCGAGTCCTCCAGGGATTTCTTCTGCACGTGGGAGAGAAACGGCACAGACGTAACAATGGAGGGGACCTGAATGCGGAAGGCTGCCAATGGTCCATCTTACTCATTTGAATGCATCTCTTGGCACGCGCCCTACCATGGCGAGCTGGGACTGGAGCTCGATTTCCAGGTTTTGAAGCGCGCGCCGCAGGTCGGTGACCTCGCTCTTGCTGGACTGAAGCTGTTCCGTGTTGCTGCTGATCTCCTTCCTGAGCTCCCCGCTCTGCCGCAACAAAGAGGGGTGAGGGGACGTGAGTCAGCCCTGCTCTCCTTTAATACAAGCGTATCCACGCCTTTTGTTTTTGTTAGCAGTACCTTTTCAATGAACCAGGCCTCCGCATCCTTCCGGTTCTGCTCAGCGATGGTTTCATACTGTGCCCGCATGTCGTTGAGGAGCCTGGTAAGGTCCACTCCGGGGGCAGCGTCCATTTCTACGCTGACCTGGCCTGGGCCGCCGGCCCGGCAGCTTTGGATCTCCTGGGGACAGCGGGTAAGAGGGGCGAAGGGGCCCACTGTGACTTTCGTGGGCCTCTTCATCCACCAAAAATAGGAAACATTACCTTTTACGACTGCGTTGGTTTAAACACAAACCAGTTAATACAAACTATTCAAACATCTTTTATCTAAATATTAGTAGTTTTCTGATTTTTGAAAGAGCTTGAGATGGGTTCCTAAACTCACTGCGGGTCCTTGGCGCTGTGCCTGCCATGCCTGATGGATGAGCTGGCCCTGCTTCTTGGGGCTCCATGGCCTTCACAAGATGGGAAGGCCTGGTGGAATTGGTGTCCCAGGGGCTTTCAACCGAGGGCTGCAGACAGTCCCTGGGTTTGCTCACCGGTTGTACCATAGTCATTGGTTTCCAGTAGAAAGCTCTTTAGGAGTCTTGTGCCAGGGTTATGCTTAATTACTGATATATATTGTGGTATACCAGAGTTCCGTGTGTGTACTACACTGTGTATAACCAGTTTCTCTAGCATATTTAACAGTATGTATTATTGGTAGAATTTTTTTTTTTGGAACTTTAAAAATACTGTATTTTTGGAACTTTCTGGGTGGTCCCGGGCTTCCAGGGGCACAGGTTTGATCAAGGAACTGAAATCCCACATGCCACTTGGTGTGACCAAAAACCAACCAACCAAACAAAAACACCCAAACTGTATTTTTAAAATCATGAAATCAGAACAGTTAAAATTCTGATTGTCCAATGTATCATGCATATCTCTTCTAACTCCATATTTATACATCTGAAATGATAATTTTGAACCTGGGAGAAAAAAGCTGCTTAGAGAGCTGCCCTTTCTGGCTCTCACCTCCTCGTGGTTCTTCTTCAGGTAGGCCAGCTCCTCATTCAGGGTCTCAATCTGCGTCTCCAGGTCAGCTCTGGCCAGGGTCAGCTCATCCAGCACCCTGCGCAGGCCATTGATGTCGGCCTCCACATTCTGACACAGGGCCAGCTCGTTTTCATATCTGGAAATCAAGTGCAAAACAGTCTAGGGAATCCACACACCCATTTGAATAAGGCCCCTGCCATCTTCAGGGCTACTTTGCAAATAAATCTGGCAGCAGTGTAATGAATGATGTGGTTTTTGCTTTTCTAACTTTTTATTTTCCTTTTTTTAAAAAAATGGTAATTTACTGCTTAGTTGGAGAGAAGCGAAAAAATTATACTTTTCTATCAGCAGTGAACCCCAGAAGCACTGCATCCCAGGCTTACAGCTTCGCTTCTGGCTGGCTGCCCTGGCTATGAAGAGTAGCAACCCCTCTCTAGGTGGAGTTTCTGATGGAAGCCTAGAAGTGGCTGAAAATAAAATAATCATTTAGTCATCTTGCTTAACTTTTACTCAAGATTTAATTTAAAACATCGATATTCCTTTAGTAACTTGTACTAGGTTTCAGGCAACATCTTGTGTGGAAATTCTGTGGAGCAAACAGGACCTTAGGATTTTCCTTCTTATATCTGAGGGGAGGGGGTGGTGTAGAAAGGAGGAAGGGATATAAAAATAAGTTCATGGTTAATATTTTAGTTGTATGTGTCATCAGGAAAAAGATCATTTTATTTAACTCCCAGGCACAAACATTATTAATTCATTTTGATGCATGGAAGACTGAGGTTTAAGACACTAGTGGAATTATCTTGGCATATCATGAGTCAATAGCAAATGTGAGATATGGTAATCCACAGCCCTGGGTTTAAGCAACTTATGATTAAGGACGTGTAATGTGAACCTATTGAATCTAGATACTTTCTAGAATGCCCAGTGTAAATTTACCAAAACGTGTGTGGAACCTGTGAACTGAAGAAGGTTGAAATATTTGCCATCAACGAAGGAAAATAGAAAGTAAGAAGAAATACTGGGACATGTCAGGTATCATTAGTCGTTTATCCTACTCACTTCATTCTGAAGTCATCGGCAGCCAGTCTTGCATTGTCGATCTGCAAGATAAGCTGGGCATTTGCGATGTTGGCAGAAATGATCTGGCAAAACAGGGTAAGACACACAAAGCGAGGTCATCAAATACTAGTGTTTTGCAAATATATCTTTGGCAGGAAAATTTCAGGTGATGTTAAAGTGCTATTTTATGAAGAGTATAAAGTAGCTTTTTAAAAGAGAATATGTGGAGAATCTTACTTAAAAATTAAGAAACAAACATACCTATCCCACAGAAAAAGTAGTGGGAATACAGTCATTTTATGGTGAATGATAAAATGAAACTATGGGCTTCCCTGGAAGTTCAGTTGATAAAGAATCCACGTGCAATGCTGGAGACCCCAGTTCGATTCCTGGGTCGGGAAGATCCCCTGGAGAAGGGGTAGACCACCCACTCCAGTATTCGTGAGCTTCCCTGGTGCCTCAGATGGTAAAGAATCACCTGTAGTGCAGGAGACCCGGGTTCGATCCCTGGGTTTGGAAGATCCCCTGGAGGAGGACATGGCAACCCACTCCAGTATTCTGGCCTGGAGAATCCCATGGACAGAGGAGCCTGGAGGGCTACAGTCCGTGGGGTTGCAAAGAGCTGGACACGACTGAGTGACTAAGCACAGCCCAAATATCTTGAGATGAAAATTTACTCCAAATACAGTTGAATGGAAACATATCTAAGTTTTGGGTGATTTGTCACCATGAAATCTTGAAATAGAAAAAAGGAAAGTAAAAAATAATCCCCAGAGCCTCTCGAAAGAAACCATTTTGTTACCTTATTCCTGAGGTCTTCAATCAACGGATAATATTTACTGTAGTCATTCTGTGACCCGGGGTCTCCAGTCCCAGAGCCTCGCGTTTCATACCATTCTCGAATTTTGGTTTCTAGATCAGTGTTGGCCTCCTCTAGAGCCCGAACCTTATCCAGATAGGAAGCCAATCTGTCGTTAAGATTTTTCATGGTTTCCTTTTCTGATCCAGAAATAAGACCTCCATCCATGTCGGAGAGAATGCCTAGAGAGCCCCCTCCCGAGCCTCCTCCGAATCCAATCCCCAGGCCTCCAAAGCCCCCTCCGCCAGCTCCTCCATAACCAGCACCCAGTCCTCCTGCAAAGGAGCTTCCGCAGAGGCCCCCGATGCCAGCACTGGAACCAAAGCCAGAGCTAGAACCGAAGCCAGCACTGGAACCGAATATGGACGTGGCAGAGAGGCCTCCCCCAGAGCTGCCTCCGAAGCCAAAGGCACTGCCCCCGTAGCTGCTGCCGATGCTCGAGGCAGACATGCCCCTGGCTCTGCCCGGGGCCCCACTCTGGGAGGACAGCCACTGAGGCAGCCCAGAGGTGCGCACAGAGAGGGCCATGGCGCTGCTGGAGGGACCTACAGCTCAGGAGGGCACGGTGTCAGCGAGGCAGGAAGGCCAGCCTTTTATAGGTCTCGGAATGGGTGTTGCCTTGGAAAGTTCACTCTCTCCATCCAAAATATAGTGGCCCCCCTTTTTTGGCCAGCTTAGCAAGAAAATGATGTATGCATATTGACAATTCACTGGTATAGAAATAATTGAATAATTTTTCCCATTACATATTTGTGATAGAAAGAAGAAATCTGGGTGGAGTGCTGATAGGTTGTCATAAAGAATTTTTCTTCTCCAAATTATTCTGTTGCTCGCATTCTCTGCACTGCGCAGTGTCTTATGCATGGGGTAAAGCACTGAGTGATTGCTGAGTGGGTAAATTATTGAATACTTCTTCCTAAACCTTAGGCTTCTTAAAGTTCTTCCCTCTATCTCCTATTTGTTTCCTTTTGAAAACTCAGTATGAGCCATCTGATCATGATCTAGTCTATCTTCTAATAGAATATAGTTTCATAAACAGTTGTAAAATTCACTGGGAGAAATGGGGAACAAATGCATTTTCCAGATTGATACTGGAATTTGAGTTTCCAAGGATTTAAAAATCTTGTCATTAGGTTGTTGCATTTTTTTTCTGATTCAATAAGAAGACCTCTTAAACATTGAAAATACTCTTTATTTTTATTTTTTATTTATTTATTTAAAAATCCTTTTACTGCACACCATTGGATCTTAGTTCCTCTTAGTTCCTTGACACTGGAAGCATGAAGTCTTAACCACTGGACCACTAGGGAATTCCCTGAAAAATGCTATTTTTGAGTAGAATATGATACTAGTAATATTTCCAGCAGATCTTCCTTTACATAAAATTTGACCTTAGCAAACTCTGTGAAATCAGGAGCCTTGTCTGACAGTTCACTACTGCCAACTTTGTTAGCATATATATATATATATATATATATATATATATATACACACACACATATATATATATAACCCAGTTGCTCTTTTTTTATTGAAATTGTATCAATGTTCATACATTCAACCCCTGGACCCCCAAATATCCAGATATTGTCTGAATATTATCTGGCTCTGACGCCAACCTCTCTGAAGCTAAGGTTCTTCAGTTCTGTGAATACTCCTGTGAACAGCTGGATCTACCTGTGCACACTAGTTGATTTGGGGGCAAATCAGAGGGGTTCCACTTGAAGTCCATGTCAGACCTCTAGAGGGAACACCCAATGCCAGTTCTCACAAATGGAAGGATCTTGTGAGCCTCTTTATACTTTCCTAGGGACAGGGATTGATGAACTCCTACTGTATTGTGGTGAAATCCTACTACAACTTCCTTTTACCTTTTTATAGGAGAGACATATGCCAAAGGACATATTTTCTCCCAACCCAGACACATCACAAAGAGCAAGCTAGTGGGATGCCTAAATAAAGGATTTTTTAAGCAAGAAATTTGCAGAAATTGCATTTTCTCCTTCATAACAGATATAGAAAGGATGCAGCAATCCAAAGAAGACTCAGCTTGAAGAGGGGGCCATCATCCAGCCATTTGTTTCATTTCTTGAGAGAATGGAAACTTGTTAAGTTGAAATGTCAGGGGTCCCAGTTTCATACGGAGATTTTTACCAAGAATTCCATTCATCTGTTACCAGCACTTTGTCCGAGCTTGTCTTTTTTGAATCGTTAGTAGTTATTGTGTACTTATGATGTTCTAGACAGTGGGCAGGTGAACTACAGACATTATTTTTAACCTTCGTGGCAACCGCTTAAGATGGTAAATTTTACCCCATTTTATAGATGAGCAGTCTGAGGGTGAGGATGTTAAGTGGCTTATTTAAGGCTACACAGCCAGGAGATGACCAAGACAGGATCTGGGGCTGCAGATAGACAACACAACCCTGCCTCTAACAGTGAAAACAAAAAGGACAGAGGGTCACTCTGACCCCCAAACTGTGAAACTAGGGTTCTACCCTGTCCACCAACCAGGAGTTTTAGTTCTTTTCCTTTTCAAAATTGAACTTCATTTCTCAGTGTTTAGCATGGGACCCAGTGATTTACTCTTTAAGGTTTGCAAGAAATGGCATCACAGATGAAATCCTGCAAACCTATAGGCAGATGTGTTTTTACTTACACTTTTTGAAATGTAACCACATCTCCAGAGATCTTATGAAGTACTAGTTAAGTGAAAGCCCCCCAAGACAGAGTGATTCCATTTTTTGGCCCTGGAAGTGAAAGCAAATATTACTTGCTTACAGAGTCAGAAGGAATGTGCCAAATTCTGAGCTATATAACTTAGTAATATCACATAAAATGTAAATATGATTTACTTGAATTTTTGAACTTGGAAACAATTTTGTGCTTAAATGTATATTTTCTAAATCTCATGCCTATATGTAAAATGTAAATAATTTGGTTCAATGTATAACATTGTTTACCCATATACCTTTGTGTTTTTATACATATTATATATTATCCTAGACTGAAATCTTCTCAGGTGAGTTTTATATCTAATTCATTTTTTATCCTGAATCTTAGCCTACTGTTTGCTAAACTTCATTCTTGCATACTTGGAGTTATTGCACTTGAAAGAACTTAATCCTTAATATATTTGAATCTGTCATTTAAAATTTATTTCACTTGAAAAAGACTTTGCTCTAATTTACTGGTATGCTTTGACCAAGATTTATTCTGAATCCAATTGTGAATGGCGAGCAACTTCAGAAGTGGAAAAGAGAAATATCTCTTCTTCAGTGGATTTTTTTTGTAGGGGGAGGGAGGGATAAGTTAAATAATTAGGCCTCTATTTTAGAGAATTTTTTTCTTGGCTACACAACATAGCATGTGGGGTCAGGGTTTCCTGACCAGGGATCAAACCCACACCCTCTCCATTGGCAATGCAGAGTCTCAACCACTCCCTCAATTCCCATCAGGGAATTTCATATTTTAGAGTTTTTAGAAGTGCAAGTAACTTTTCTGACAGCTGTAAAAATATAGGAAGGTGGAAATGTATAAAATGGGGCTGTTGGCAAAAATGAGGCACAGGGGAAAATGACTACAACCAAGGTGAACTGTTCAAAAGAATTATGTCTCCATTTTTTGGTAGAGTTTAGGGAATATTAAAAATAAGAACTATTATTGACATGGCATTTGTAAATCTTTAGATTTTATTCAGTAGAATGTGTGCTCATCTTATGTCAGATTGGTTAGTTTCCTAGTCTTTGACTGCAGAATTTCGTCCTGAGTTCTTTCTCTTAAAGACAGACCTTTCAGTTTGTGCAAGTCACTGATCACTTGGTCTGTAACTGCTTTTCTTTTTTGGTCCATAACACCTTTTCTTTTTGCTTTGAATAACATTTTATCCTATCAGTGAGTGAAAGAATATTGAATTACTGATATAGAATGCTGTGCTTTTGAGATGAGGATGATCAAGAATCCTAGTGGTCATGATTGAGGTTGATTTCTGGATTTTAGAGCTCAGTGGTTCTCAAAAGCAGGGGAGGATTGTACATGGTAAAAAAGAGAAGTAGGAAGATAAAATAATACCCTGGTAAGGTGAATTTTGGAAGTGAGTCTAGGAGAGAAAAGGGAAATTAAAAAATAGAGATCACTGAAAGTGAAAGTTGCTCAGTCATGTCCAACTCTTTGTGACCCCATGGACTATACTGTCCATGGAATTCTCTTGGCCAGAAAACTGGA